TTAAATCCCCCATGTTGCTCCCCTCTCTAACTCTAGAACCTTCCAAGGTTCCAATGAACATCCAAGTTATCTTCATTTTACCACTTTCCTCTTGAACTTCCCTGGTGCTTTCACCCAACTATTGGTAGCCATGTCTTGAGCAGCTTGGGCCCTAATCTCTGCAATTCCCACTCCAAACCACTCTGCTTCTCAGCCCCTCTTTTTTAAGCTGCTGTTTAAAACCCATCAATTCGACCATGCAAATGGAGTTTCCTTCTTTGTCTGAGCATCCGTTTATGTCTAATGATGCTCCTGTCAAGCATTTTGGGACATTTCAGTATAATCTATATAAATAAAAGCTTTTTAGATTTTTCTGCTTTTAGATTTTAATTTTGATTTTGTGAAATTCTCCTGGTGAGGACAGATCACAGAACAGAATGGAGGTAGATATAAGTTGTGGAAAGGGGCCTTGCAATGAAATAAAGGGTGACTTTTTCTGATTTTCATTATTAATGACACTGTACAATCTTCTTCTCCGTATTTCAATATTTCTGATTTGTACCCTTGCCATCTCTTGACCAACATTTTGGTTTGCACATTGCCCTTTCATTTTGCTAGTTACATATTATTTTAAAATTTGGAAATTAGCTTGAAATGAAAATGCACTGCACTTCACAGAAGCATTATCAAAAGACAAAGGAGGAGTTATTAGGAGACCAAAATCTTCATCAACGAGATGAGTTTTAAGGAGGATTTTACAGGATGAGAATCAGGTGAGAGGTGGAAGAATTCCAGGAGTGCAGCTAGGATGTACCTTCATCAAGATGGTGCAAACGCACGGTGACTCTTTGCGAGCTCTTTACGGCAGATCTTACTCTTACATGTCCTATAATTGTTCTGCTCTTTTACATTGTGTTCCTTGCTCTGTTCTATTACCCTATGCATTTTATATGGTATGATCTGCCTGTACTGAATGTAAAACCAAACTTTGTCACATGTACCTCGGTACAGTGAAATAATAAATCCAATCAAAAGAGCAATGCTGAGGCCACAGCCATTTGCAATCTACTTTAATGACCTGGGAAGAGACTAAGTAATGCATCTGATTTTTTTTCTGATGGTACAAAGCTAGGTGGGAATACAAACTGAGAGGACACAGGTTATAAACAGTTAAGTGAATGGACAACAAGGTAACAGTTGGGGTATAATGTCGGATATAAAGTTATTTGTTTTTGTAGTAGCTGCAACAAGTAATTAGGACGGCGAATAGCATGTTGATCTTTATTGCAAGGGAACTGGAGTATGGTAATAAAGTTTTCCTGTATTAAGCTTCAATAAGACAGTACCTGGAGGACATTGTGTAGTTTTACCCTTGATGTTTGAGGAAGAATACATTTGAATTGGAGGCAGTATAGCAGAGGTTCACTAGTCTGGTTCCTTGGTAGTCTGATGATGAGAAGCTGTGTAAATTGGGCCTACGCTTTCTTTGGTTCAGGAGACCGAGAGGTGAACTCCTAGAAATGTGCACAACTCTGGTTGTGATTCAGCAGATATAGAGAGGGGCTGGTTATTTATGCCTGATATGAGGCAAAATGTTTTCACTCCATGGTTATGGATCTGTGGAATTCTCTACCATAGTTGGTTGGGATTGCTCCATTGATGGTGCTGAGAGGTATATGGGTGGAAAGTAACATTGAAGCTGTGATGTGATTGTATTAAATGGCACAGCAAATGTGTGGTGCCATGTGGGCTACTCCTGTCTCTATTTCTTATATTCCTACGAAAGGATTATGGACAGCGGAGCTTTAGTTGAGTTGAAATGTATAAAGTCAAGAATGGAATACTGTTTTTGCATAGTTAAATCCCTTATTGTTGTCACTTATGAATTCATTTGTCCACAAACATTAACTTCAATATCACATTCAAATATTTGATACTTTGTTATAAACTCTTATTAATATGACTAACAACCTGAAAGGATTCTGCATTAACTGTTTTCCATTTAAATTCCTAACATTTCAGTGATGCAGTGCTTCTCCTTGTCCTTTCCTAACACTCGTAGAGTCATAGAGATGTACAGCACGGAAACTGACCCTTCGGTCCAACTTGACCATGCCAACCAGATATCCTAAATTAATCTAGTCCCATTTGCCAGCATTTGGCCTGTATCCCTCTAAACCCTTCCTATACACATACCCATCCAGATACCTTTTAAATGTTGTAATTGTACCAGCCTCCTCCTCCACCTCTGGCAGCTGGTTCCGTACACACACCACCTTCTGTGCAAAAAGGTTGCCCCTTAGATCTTAAATCTTAAGATTTTAAATCTTTCCCCTCTCACCTTAATCTATGCCCTCTAGTTTTGGACTCCCAAAAGTACTCTGGAGAAAAGACCTTGGCTATTCACCCTACTCGTGCCCCTCATGATTTTATAAACCTCCTATAAGGTCAGCCCTCAGACTCCTGCGCTCCAGGGTAAGTAGCCCCAGCTTGTTCAGCCTCTCCCTATAGCTCAAACTCTCCAACCCTGGCAACATTGTTGTAAATCTTTTCTGAACTCTTTCAAGTTTCACAACGTCCTTCCTATAGCAAGGAGACCAGAATTGAACACAGTATTCAAAAAGTGGCCTGCTGCAACATGACCTCTCAACTCCTATACTCAATGCATTGACCCTGAAAGTTTATTCTTGGGCATGTTTCAATGTCAGGTCTTACCTAGTTGGTGCCAGATTTCACTTGGTGGTGATAAGCCATGATCTATTTTAATTACTGATTTTGGTTCAGGATTCTTGCTTGATTCACTGTTTCTGTCATTGTTTCTGCTCTTACAATGCATTATGATACGGTGCCTGGTCAGTTCATATGGCTATAGGGGTGAAGCACAAATTTAAGCACGTTGATGGCAAAGTTTGTGCCGCAAGCTAATTGACTCTCAAGACAATTAAAGTTCTCTTAGTGGCTTTTTCTTTCTGGAGGACCAGTGTTAGAGAAATATCAGTAGACCCTGGAAAGGAAAATTATTGGCAAAAGAAGCAATGGCAACATAAGGAAAACCTTTTCACTCTGGGAGTGGTCAGAATCTGGAAAGCACTGCCTGGGTGCGACATGGATGCAGATTCGATCAAAGCATTTCTTCAAATTAGCCTTTCATCTTCCTTACTCCAATAAGCGTACACTTGAGAGCACTTCACCATTAGGTGTTTCAAACCATGTAACAACTAAAGAAGTCCTGTTGAAATATATTACTTTGTCACATAGGATACACAGCAGTCAGTTTACACACAGCAAGTTCCAACGAGGAGCAATGTGATAGCAGCTTAGTAACGTTTTAATGAAGTTGATTGAGGAGTAAATATTAGCCAGGGCACTAGAGATAATTCACTTGTTCCTCTTCAAAATATTGCCGTAGGATCTTTTATGTCCAACAGTTCGCGTCATTTCACTCTTTTTAGCCTTAATATCCTTTTGGTAAACCTGTAATTCATCTTCCCTGAGACCCATTTATCCTTCTTGAAGTGTCCAGGACTGATTTTTGTACTCCACATGGTGTGTGACTAGCAATTGAAAGACAACTTCACCCTTGGGATAAAAGCCAACGTTGTATTAATGTTTGTAATTAGTGGCTGGTTTACACACGCTCTCAGTGACAATGCAGGTTCAATTCTTGTACTGGTTGAGGTCACCATGAAGGCCCTGCCTTCTCTCCCCCACCCCCAACTTAAGGTGTGGTAACCCACAGGTTAAACTCGCCACCAGTCATGTCTCTGTAATGAGAGAATAAACAACGGTTCTCTGGGGCAATGTGATTTCACTTTTTTATAATTTTTGATTTCTTCATTCAAGCATGCATATATTTTCCTATCCAACGTGAAATGATCTCCTGAAAGTAGTTTAGTTAGATATGTCTTGCCCTGTTCAAAGCTGTGCTTGCTCTTTCTGATCATCTCAAATCTTTCGAAGCATTCAGTCATTTTGTCTTAATCTCAGATTCTAAGAATTCCCCACAACTGATAATAAATTGACAAGCCTCTGTTTTCCTGATTATTCTTTACCACTTTTCTTAAATAGTAGAGTTAGAATAGGGCAATTAAGGACGGGCAATAGATGCTGGCCTGGCCACCAATGCCCATGACCCATAAAAGAATATAAAATAAAGGACCCAGTTAGTTTCATTATGTGCAAGTAGTCAGGTTATATAGAAACTTGATTTGATCCCTCTTGGTGTACTGTACATAGTCTGGTTGCCATGTTGTAGAATTAGTTGAATGTATTGGAGGAATTGAAAAAGTGATTTACAGACATGATACCAAAACTAGTAAGCAGCAGCTATTAGCTGGAGCTTTAATATCTAGGAAAGTGTAGACTGTCGGAGATTGTTAAAATTGTGAAAGGACTGGAGCAGGTGGATTTGAGGGAATAAAAACAAAGTACTGGAGCAATGTAGCAGGCCTGGCAAGATCTGTGGAGAGAGAAACAAAGTTAAATTTTTGAATTCACTATAGATTTTCTCCAAAGTCTCTCAAGCACTTTTTTTTAAAGTTTCAGATCTCTCCTGTCTTCAGTATTTTACTTTTATTATAGTCAGGTTGAGGAAGATAGTTCCACTTTTAGGAGCTCTTCAAATTAGTGGCCATCAGTATAAAATCCTGATTATTCATGCAGCCTAGAAAGACAGTAATGAAAATATGGTTGTTTTTTTTTTTGCTGGTGCAGCTTTCTTGATAGATCTGGCTGGAATTAGTTTGATAGGGTAGAGTTGATATATTTTAGATATGTTTCATTTCAGTTAGTGACAATATTTCCAGCAAGTGGATCACTTGTTCTTTGACTTGGCGCTGATGCGGTGGGCTGAATGGCTCCTTCCTCACTCTAACAATTCTGAGAGTTTTCTGAAACTTGTTGCTTGTACTGTAATGTAATGAAACAAATTTAGCAACTTTTATATTTCATGAATCAACATTATTTTTTCTACTGAATTTGCCTAAACATTATATTTTTTTTTGTTTGCTTTTCTTTTTTAGATTCTGCTTTCTCAAGGGCTTTAGCTCGTCCCACACCCACTACTCAGGCAGCAAGCCTGTCCTGTCAACCTCCCACTTCAACCAGTTATCCCATTGCACGGCCAGTGCCATCTTACCATGCTCGTATGCAACCTGGAATCTCAACAACATACAGACCGACTTCTTCTCAACAGCTTCCATCTGTGCCAACTTCTCAGCAGCCAGTGCCACCTCTACACATGGTACCATTTCAGCAGCCACCCCTAGCAGCTCCTCCTCTGCTAATGAACCCTCCATTAGTGCCAGCCAATACCCCACAACAACAGCAGCAACAGTGCTCTGTGTATCAGCAGCAACAACAGTGCTCCGTGTATCAGCAGCAACAACAGCAATGCTCTGTGTATCAGCAGCAACAACAGTGTTCAGTCTATCAGCAACAGCAACAATGCTCTGTGTACCAGTATCAGCAACAGCAACAGTGCTCTGTGTATCAGCAACAGCAACAATGCTCAGTCTATCAACAGCAACAACAGTGTTCGGTGTACCAGCAAAGGGGCCCTGAGATCCAAAGAAACCACTGGATGGAAACAGTCCGGTAAGTTTTAACTTGCTTAATATTGCACGAGCATAATTTCTCTTTTGTGATGTTGCAGAGTAGCACCAGTCCTTGAGTCACAGACTAGGGAATTACAATTCATATGAGAGCAGAAACCATTCTGTTCTATGAACTGAAGAAAAGATGCTGTAATAAATGCTGGAGAAACTCAGCAGCTCTGACAGCATCTGTGGAGAAGGAAACAGAATTACTGTTTTAAGTCCAGGACTACTTCAGAACTGGTACTAGACCTGCTGATGTTCTCCAACACTTTGTCTTTATTTTAGATCTCCAGCAAATGCAGTTTTTTATTTTTATTATTGCCTAATAATAAAGATTCCCTAAGACCATTGATTATTCTGAGACACCAATGAATCAATTGCTTGTATTATTCCCCCATGTGGTAAATTTCAAAATAACCTGATTCATATGTTTATTTGCTTTATTTATTGGAAATGACTGGAACTAAGACATTCCAAAATTACTAAATATTCAAGGGCAAAAGGAGGAGAGGAAATTAATACAATAGACATCATAGAGAAGAAGTGCTAGGGAAACTAATGGAATACATCTTAGGATATTGAAGGAAGTAGCTACAGAGTTGGTGAATGCACTGGCAGTAATCTTCCAGGAATCCTTAGAATCTGGATAACTGCTAGAGCATTCGAAAACTGCCAATGTAGAACCTTTATTTTAGAAGGGAAGGAGACAGAATACAGGTGACTGTAGACCAGTTAGCTGAACATCTGTTATTGGGAAAATGTTAGAGTCTATTATAAAGGGTGTAATAGCACAGCATTTAGAAATACACTATGATCAAACAGAGTCAGCATGACTTCATAAAGGGGCAATTACACCTGATAAATCTGAGAATTCTTTACGGAAGTAACCGATTAGATAGATAAAGGGGAAACAGTGGATCTATGATATTTGAGTTTTCAGTAGGTGTTTGAAAAGGTACCACATATTAGGTTACTTAATAAGATGAAAGCTCCTAGTGTTGGAGGTGGTGTATTAGCATGGACAGAGGATTGACTAACTAATAGAAGACTGAGTTGGGATAAAGGAGGCATTTTCTTGATGGCAACCTGTAAGTAGCTGTGTGCTGCAGGTATTCGTGCTGGGGCCACAATATTTTACAATATATATTTAATGAGTTGGATGAGGAAAGTGACTGTACTATCACCAAATTTGCGAATGATTCAAATGGGTAAAAAGGCAAGCAGTGAGTACGGCACAAACAAGCACAAAGGAATGTGTAGACAGGTGAAATGAGTGGGCAAAAAGGTGGAGCAGAGAATATAATGTGGGAAATTGTGAACTTATGCTCTTTGGAAGGAAGAATAGAGGATCTGAATATTATTTAAATGGAGGAAAACTGTGAGATAGAGGAATTTGGGTGTCCTCGGCCATAAATTGCAAAAACTAGCAAAGAAAGTTCAATGCATGATAGAAAATGCAAGTAGAATTTTAACTTCAAAGGAAATGGAGCATAAAAGTATGGAGATTTTGACAAAACTAAACAAAGCACCAGTCAGACCACAGCTGGGCTGCTGCAAAGAATTGATCCCATACCTAAAGAAAGATAATAGAATCCTCCAGTGCAGAAAGAGGCCATTTGACTAATTTGAGACTGCACCAAACCTGCAAAGACCATCCTACCCAGACCCTGTACCCTCCCATCTATGTAACCCCACATTTCTCATGGCTAGCCCACCTAGTCTGCATATCCCTGGACACTATGGATAATTTGAATGGCCAATCCACCTAACCTACACGTCTTTGGACTATGGGACAAAACCAGAGCACCCAACAGAAATCCACGCAGACTGCCCCAAGGCTGGAATTGAACTTGGGATGTGGCACTGTGAGGCAGCAGTGCTAACCACTGAGCCATTGTGTCAGTCTAAAGATATACTGGCATTGGAGGCAATCTTAAGAAGGTTTGCCAGGCTGATACCAGGGATGAAGGGACTGTTTTACATGGAGACTTTTTTTATTCATTCACAGGATGAGGGCACTGCTGGCTAGGCCAGCATTTATTGCAACACTAATTGCTCAGAGTTGACAACGTGGCTGTGGGTCTGGAGTCACATGTAGGCCAGATGGCAGTACAGCAGACCAGATGGGCATTTCTGACAATCGAGAATGGTTTAATGGTCCTCCTTAGACTCTTAATTCAAATTCCACCATCTGCCTGGATTCAAACCCATCCCCAGACCATTACCTGGGTCTCTGGATTAACAGTGCAGTGATAATACTGTTAGGCTGTTGCCTCCCTTATTTTAGGAGAGGTTGAGTAGATTGAACCTGTCCCCATTGGAATATA